TTCCCGGCTACACCACCTCCCAGCTCCTTCCCAGCCCCCCACGCTGCCTGCCAGGCCGCCTTCTTGGGGGGGTCCTCAGGGATGAGGGCAGCCCCACAGCTGGGACCTGCTGATGGCACTTGTCCATCCCAGCCAGCTCGCTGGGTTGGGGAGAGGCACTGGGATGTGGGGAGCTGCCCTGGCTCACTGATGTGGGGACATCTCGTGGCTGGCGGAGCCCTGGTTTGCTGCGGGGTCAGCATGAGGGGCCGTGCCTGCCAGCCTGGCCTGGCCAGCACCTGGGGATCCCAGGCTCTCGGCATGGGGCCGGTTTGGCACGGTTGCATGGAGCCAATTTGGTCCATCTTGTCCTGCTCCTGCCTGGGGAAAGGGGAGCATCGCCTGCCCGGGGTGGGTGCCCACCTGCCACTGCTGCAGGAGCACCGGGCTGGCTTGCGCAGTGACCGGGAGGAGCGCGGCTCTGCTCCCTCCACGCGTCGTGCTCCCTGGCACGGTCGAAGGAGCCGCAGCCCTCGCGCTGAGTCCTAGTTTCTTTCCCGGCTGCTCCCTGGGGAGGCAGGGAGCTGCTGTGTGCCAGCGGGTTTCTAGCTTTCTTCCTGAAAGCTCCCTCTCCTGCCTGGCCTGGACAAACCCCCATGTGCCACACAGGGAGGCTTTTTAAGGTTATAAAGACCTCTCTGACAGCAGCAGAGAGGAGGAGGCGTTTGTGTTGGAGGAGGTCTTGCTGGATGCGATTTCCCGGCTTGCAATGTGCTTGGAAAAACACTGAGACATTTTTGCTTGAATCTATTTTTGAATGACCGAGAGGAGGAAACTGCTGTGAGTGGGATCCTCTCCAGCCGGCTGCGATGGGCAGGGTGCAGGCAGGGGGCCAGGCACACACTTGCTCCCCTGCACCGTGTCCAGACCGTGGTCAGCTCCCCCCCGGAGCGGGACAGGGCTCTCCATGCCTCTGCACCAAACCCTCCCATGTTCCCAAGGGCTCTCCTCCTTTCTTTCAGCTCTTTCTTCCTCCATCTGCATTTTTCCAGTGCTGTCCCTATTCCTGGTCCCCTGCATGCTGTGCTCCAGGAGGCCCTGGGGCTGTCGTGCTGCCCCGGGCAGGGGCCCTGTGCTGCTTCTCGTCCCTCATCACGGCCGCTGTCGGGACACAGTTTCTGAAAAGACCCATCAGCTCTTTTCCTCGGGCGAGTGCTGTGCCCTGTGCTGAGCCTGGGGTCCTGGGAAGTTTGTGGCTCTGACTCCTCCTGGGCAAATTCCAGCTTCTGGAATTTGTTGGGTTTTGATCCCTTTTGGAGATCCTTATTTCCCAAAACTCTCCATGCAAAAGCTTCACCTGCTTGCTGGGTGTTAGCGTGGCTGTCCCCAGCTCTTGTCTCCCCTCTTGGTGTAGCACAGACGGGTGATTTGAAGCTGCTTTACCACCAGCAGTTCGAGTTGCAGCAGAGCAGCTTGATGTTATCCCCACCACAAAACGCCACAGCTGAGTCCCAGCAGGCTGGTGGGTCGCGGTGGCGGTGCCCGGTGAGGTGCTGCAGGCGGTGCCGGCTGGCGGGACAGGCGATGCTGTGTGGATCCTGCTCTCCTGGCCCCGCAGCTGAGCCACCGCTTCATCCCGCAGGCGTTCCTGAGGCCCGAGCTGCTGGGGAAGGAGTTTACCCACCTCGAGTTCCCCCGCAGGATCCAGCCCAAGGAGCTGGGGAAGAAGATGCTGTACAGAGACCAAAACATGAACGGCTGGTAACCCCCCAACCCATGGGAGGCTCTGTGCCGAGGAGCAGCGCTGGGGTCCCGCTGCACATGGCTGCCCGGCTCCAGCATCCCTTCTGCGGGACAGGGGCTGTGGCATGCTGGGTACCCGGGTCTCGAAGGGGCCTCATCCTGGGGGATGCTGTGTCCCAAGCGGGCAGGGGAGGTGCTGGAAGCCTTCGCCTGCTGACATGTTGTCTCTGGCTTATTTTAACCAGGTCTTACAAAAAGATAGAAGAGGATGACCTGAAGTTTCCACTTATCTATGGGGAAGGCAAAAAGGTGAAGTGCTGTGGCAGGAACTGTGCGGGCTCGCTTCCCGCCAGCCCTCGCTGAATCGGGGGTTTCCAGCCTGTTCTTGCTCATGCTGTTGCTGCTGCAATGCCACCAATTCTCAGCTGGGAATGGAAGTGGAGATGAAGTGGCTTAAAGTCTTATTTTGGTTTTGTCGTCCCCCAGGCTCGGGTGATGGCTACGATTGGGGTCACGCGGGGCCTGGGAGACCATGACCTCAAGGTGTTCAGCTCCAACATCCACATCAAGCCTTTCCTGTCCTGCTTCCCAGAGGTGAGCCTGGCTGCCGGCCGCTCCGTGCCCAGGGGTTTCTGCAACGGCCGGAGATGGTCAGGGTGACCAGATCCCTGGTGTGCCCAGCACAGCGGCTCAGGGCAGTGCCAGTGCTCGCCTGGGCTCTCTGGGAGCTTCATCTGCCTCTCTGCCCCTCACCCTTGCATCTTGCCCCATTGCTTGCCAGGTCAGGGTTTACGACCTCACGCAGTACGAGCACTGCCCTGACGATGTTCTGGTCTTGGGCACCGACGGGCTCTGGGATGTCACCAATGACAAGGAGGTGGCTGGCGTGGTGATGGAGGTGCTGACGAGTTATGAGCCCAATGACCCATGCAGGTGAGCTGAGTGGGCAGCGGGACGAGCCTGTCCTGCTCTATAACATCGTCCTTGCTCCTTAGAGCGGCGTTGTGGCCACACGTCCCTCTGGCCTTGGGACTGGTGCTGTCGTTCCACAGCATACAATGCTCCCATGGATGTGCATATCTGAGCTCTCTCTCCTCTCCAAAGGACTCTCTTCTGCTCCTCCAGCTTCTTCCTTGCCAGGGGCTGCAGTGTGCTGCATCAGGGAGTCTGCGGGCTCTGGGGCTGCTGCTGAGCTGCTGTGCTTTGCCCCCAGGTACACCATGGTGGCCCAGGAGCTGGTGGTGCGGTCCAGGGGGGTGCTGAAGGAGCGGGGCTGGCGGCTGGCCAACGACAAGCTGGGCTCTGGCGATGACATTTCTGTCTTTGTGATACCTCTGGGCGGCCCAGGCAACTACACATGATACCTAAAGACCCCAGGGCAGAGGGGCTCGCCTTGTCTGGATGGAGAGGAGCAGGACACGGGTGCTGCCTTGGGGCCACCTCTCCCCTGAGCACTTGTTTCCTGAGCCGACTGCAAGAAGAGTGAGAAACCTGGAGCCTCTGTTTGTGCCCCTGCCCAGAGCATCGCCCTCCACCTGCTGCATCCCAGCCCTGGGTGGAGATGGAAGGGCCTTGGATAGAGAGCAGGGACTGGGGTCGCGGGATGTTTTTTCATGCTGCCACTTTCTTGATTGCTGTGAAAAGCCTAAATCCTCCCTGGCTTCTCGGTGCGTCCTTTGCACCTCGCCCTGGGCCTGGGTGCACTGGTTCCAGCAGCGTGCGATGGCCATTGGGCTGGTGGGGCACTTGTACCTGGAGAAGCGTGTGCTTGCTGCTGCAGTCATCTCCTCTCCCCCCACCCTGTGACACTTGCACTGGTGACACCGAAGCTGCTGTTGGGGCTGGGCACCGGGGCTGGGATGGGCCGTGGCCTGGGGTGAAGCCCTGCCGGCAGCTGGGTGATGCTCAGCCCGGTAGAAGTCTGGTTGTGGGTGGTGTGGTGGTGGGCAAGCCCCACAACTGACATCCCAGCTTTGTGCTTGCCCTCTCCGGCCCCTCACGCCTTTGTCCCAGCCACGTACCTTGTCTTAGTCTCCGGTTTGGGAGGATGGGGCAGCGCTGGGTCACTGCGGCGCGCCGAGAGCCCCGGGAAGGAATGGGCTATTGCACTTGCACTGGCTGTGCCCTGGGTTCTGCCCCCACCCCTCTTCATGCCTTGGATCACTGCTGTGTTTCTGGAGCCAATTATTTGTTATTAACTGGGGAGCTGAGCTGGAAAATGTCTAAATCCTTTCTTGTTGTATGGAGTCTGTATGAATATACGTCTGTATTTTTGAGTGGTTTTCAGTTGGCCACTGCTGAGCAGCAGTTGCGCACAGAGCAGCCCTGTTCAGCCAAGCTTAACAGCTTAAGCGTGCTGCATGGATCTGCTTAGCTGAGGCCTGGAAACCCACAAGGAAAGCAGCTTGGTTGTGACTGGAGGCGGGGAAAGACAACACCCTCCTTTTTCTTAATAACCTCAGAGTTGGTGCTAAGCAGAGCTGTAGCAGCAGTTGATCTCTGCACAGTATCTTATTTTGCACCACGCGTACCTCTGACCTGGAGGATGTGTTTCCTGGACCTCTACAGAGCATTGCATCCTCCCAAAATGTGAGGGATGATCCTGCCCTGGCAGCGTGGTGATGGGCAAAGCTGGGCCACGGTCCCTTGTTTTGGAAAGGCTCTGTGGCACCGGGGGTTTGTGTCTTGCTGTTGCTGGGTGCAGCCAGCTCTTGTCAGGTGTCACCTCTGGTGAATGTTGTTTGTCTCTTGTAATCAGTGAGATGTAAATAAACTGGATGCACTTAATGGGAAGTGAAAGTTATCCAGCAAGGTTTTAACCTATTGACATCTTCTGTGCTGAAGGGAGCAGGGAGTGATACTGGGGCCGGGAGCCTGTCCTGGCGTAGCACTCTGTGTTTAAATAAAGGTTTTGCCACTTGCAATCCCATTTCAAAGTCTTTCTTGGCAGAGCTCCTGCAAAGAAGACTTACCTAAAAGCCAATTAGCTCTGACTAATTTATGTAATTAATGGGAGCAAATAGGCCCAGAGTGAGCCATGTGAGCTGCTGTCCCTCTGCCCTTGGCGCTGGCCAGACCTTGTGGAGCATCCCTCCGGTGCCCACAGGGAGTGGGAACCGCTGCTGTGCGGCCCGTCTCTGCACGGGGGCTGCTGGCTGCGTTTGCCCGGGGCTGGCACAGGGGCATGGCACTCTGGGGCGGGCAATGGCCAGCCAGGCTGCGGGGTGGGTCGTAACCCAAAACAGGACCTGGAAGGTCCCATGAAGATGGGCTTGGATGAGGATGGAAAACCAGCAGGCAGCAGCCTGGGCTGCCCTCCTTGCCTCCTCCCTGCCTGCTCCCCGCTGCAGGCAGCATCAGGACACAGACGGGGAGTGGAGGGGAGGAAAGGCTGATGGTTTCCCTGCTCGTGGGGTCGGGTCCCTCCTTCAGGGAGTGGGGTGGGCTGTGGATGGAGGCACAGCTCTGCAGGCTGTAGCTTCCAGGGCTGTGGCTGTGCCGGAGAGGCAGGACATCTCTCTGGGAGCTCAAGCAAGCCAGCAGCAGCTCCCCCCTGCCTCTAGGGTGGGCTGCCAACTGTCACATGTCCCCTGACTGCCACCGTTCCCCCCGGTGCTCCTGATGCTCACACACGTTGTCTCCACACCCCACAACTTGTTGGCGCAGCCCTGTTCCCCCAGCGCAGTGCTCTTCATGCTGGTGGCTGAGAACTGGTTCTGCTTTTCCAGGTCACTGCCTGGGAGCTGCTGGGTAAGGCAAGGAGGCAGAGGCTGCATTTAAAGCTTCCTCTGTGGTTCCCTTTTTTACTAAGGAAACATTTCCTTTGGAACCAGCTCCTGGCCTGGGGCTTGATAAATTAAGAAAAATTGTCTCCGAGTCCTTAAAATAGCAGGAGTTTATGAGCCTGGGTCTGGGCCAGGACCCTGGGGCCGCCTTTCCCTGGCTGAGCGGCAGGGACTCAGCCCTGCATCTGGGGCGGTGCAGGGAGGAGCAGCCCGGTCCTCCCTTGCTGGCAGCCCGCTGCGGGCAAGGGGAGCCTGAGCCCCCCCCTGCAGCTCTGGGGTCGTCTCGGTGCGGGGCCCGATGCATCCCGGCCCCCTCTGCCAGTGCCCCTGCGAAGGGGACTGGGGATCCTGCGGACAGGGCGTGTCCCTCACGTCCCCGCTGTGTCTGTTATGGTGGGAAACGGGGAAACAGGGCCTTCCCCAAGGAGCGAGCGGCCAACTGGGCAGCGCATGGGGGATGCAGGAGGGGTGCGATGGGGTTCGGCTGCTGGCCCCTGCTGGGATCTGCCTTCCCTGGCAGAGCTCGCCTCTCGCTGCTGGTGGCTCTTGGCGCTGCCATACATAATGGCTCATGGGGGGAAAGGCGTCTCCTCGAGAGGTGCTGCGATGGTGGCGGGCTCCTGGTTAGGGGGCAAAGCACGGGGTGGTCTGTGCTATTGGCCCTACCTGGAAGGGGAGTTTGGGAGCAGCAGCTCGGCCCCTCCCGGCAGCGCCGGGATCGCCCCTCTCCCGGCCTGGCGTCAGCGACCTAAAACGGGAAAAAACCCCGCGGGAGCCCAGGGGGCTGGGGCTGCGGGCACCCCCCTGCCCCGCGGCGTGCGACCAACGCGGGGACGGGGCCCGCGGGGCAGCAACGGCGGGGCCCGGGGGTCCCCGCAGCCCGGGGGGGGGCTGCGCTGTGGGGAAGGGGCACGGCCACGGCACCGCCCTGCGGCTCGGCTCCGTTCGGCTCGGCTCCGTTCGGCTCGGCTTAGCTGAGCGCGGCTCAGAGCGCTGCCGCCCCGCCCTCCGCGGGCGGCCCCCGGCCGGGGCGGTGCCGCCCGAGCTGCGCTGCGGGGCCGGAGCTGGAGCCGGGAGCGGGAACGGGAGCGGGGGCGCGGC